TGCAGAACTCAGTCTACTTGACAAGTTATCAAATAAATACTATCAGTCTAATAATGTTCCCACTGCTGCGGTTCAGGTCTTACCTATGATCGATTATCCATATATTAGGGAAAGCGGGCCATAGCCCACCATATTGACCCAGTACGTGTAGCATGACAAACTCGAGGAACGCTTTGTCTACACTGAACGTCACTTTTCTCGGATTGACAGTGAGATATTGTGTGGGCATCTTTCTTGTAATATTTTCATCTTTGAGTGTAATATAGCCGTTCGATTGGGCGGCTAGCCAGTTAATTGAATGGTGCCAAATAATTGCACTTTGTTATCTATTTGTAACTTAACACGTAACCTGCAGGGCCAAAATAATTTGGTTGTGTATCATTTTATATTGTTATTAACTACTGTAGCACCAAATTACGAAATCGTAATAAACATACTAAAACAATCGCAGTCATATAGTCATACATTGCTTACTCTCGTTACATACTGAATCGTGGTATATATCGTCTTTGTATAATTGTATTAGTTTAAGAATTTATTATGAAAGTTTAAGCTTAACTCACTTGCGAAATAGATACACACCCTTAAAGCAAGTTAGCTTCCTTTATCGGATAATACAGACCATTGATACCCAGTTGCTAAGTTTCTTATGATCTTATACAGATACAGATCTGTATTGATTACAGATCTTACAAGGAGTTTTTGAGTTTTAAATGAAATCACCCACTACAATACTTATTTTGTTTTACTTCTAATTCTACCAATAAATTTCGGTATTCCCGATGATTTGACATTCACGCAAAGAAACAATAATAAAAATGGTGACATAAGAAAAGTGACATTTCGGTGTAGACAAAACGTTCTTGAGTTCGTCATGTTAAGTATGCTGTGTGGGATGAAGCTTGGACACTTGAGACTCGATTTTTTGTAGTTTTCTATAATATATATAAAATAGTATTGACAACCCAACATTTATTTCTATATTTAAATATAATGAATAGGTATATACCACGAGCTGAAGTTTTCTGTTATGTACTGATCCATTTCAGAGGCTTACTTGTGATCGATGTGATCATAACTCATGTTTAGACGAAGGACGCAATACTTTCTACATTATGTGAACTGAAGAAAGTTTTGTATAGGCTACAAGATATATAGTGAAGCCTACTCTACCTACTTACGTATTTCTGCTTTAGGTTTTCTGCACTTGCACTTTATTTATGTGTAGTTTATAATGTAAGTAAATAGTTAGATGGCGTAGTGGTTAGCGCGCTCGGTCTGCGATGCGGTTGTTAAGCATACTTTCGCAATGGCCGATCATAGGATGAGTGACCAAAAATTTATTATCTCGAGCTCCAGGCTGCATCTGCAGTCGTTAATAGCCACCAAGTGGGCAGCGGGGACACTAATAGGCTGGTGATAATGATCATGACATTTTCAATTATATTCATTGATACCTGACTACCTACGTAGCCGAGTAGTTCGCACCTATGTAGCCGAGTAGTTCGTGCCTACGTAGCCGCGTAGTTCGCACCTACGTAGCCGAGTAATTCGCACGTACGTAGCCGAGTAGTTTGCACCTACGAGCCGAGTAGTTCGTACCTACGTAGCCGAGTAGTTCGCACCTATGTAGCCGAGTAGTTCGTACCTACGTAGCCAAGTAGTTCGTACCTACGTAGCCAAGTAGTTCGTACCTACGTAGCCGAGTAGTTCGCACCTACGTAGCCGAGTAGTTCGCACCTACGAGCCGAGTAGTTCGCACCTACGTAGCCGAGTAGTTCGCACCTACGTAACCGAGTAGTTCGCGCGCTGATTTAGAAGGTGTCGCCATCTCTGAGGTCCCAAATTCGATTCCCGGTCGGGTATTTAGAAAAGTAACTTTTCTATATCGTTGGTTTAGATACTCCATAACACGAGGGCTTTAGCTATTCATCTTGAAATCTAAGCAAATCTAATATTTATATTAAGTTATGTACCAGGTGGTACCGGTATGAAATAACACGGAGAACAGATCGGGCGAACGTTGATGATAATACATTTATTGGTGGTTACGCTTAAACGAGCACCCATCTCCGCGTGGCTATCAATGACCCTATAACTTTTTACCGGTTGACCGAGCAATTTCATTATCTTGCGAGCAATTCGGACAAATTGTCGACACATGGTGTGTCAAAGCCAGAAATTATACACGACGTGTTACATTAAATTGAATAATATTATTATTAAGCATAATTGAAATGTATATGTCAGGTGGTGCTTTATATGTCCCGCTTTTTAGGTCTTTTTAACCGAGGGGAACTCACCGAAGCATTTATATGACCCTAGATTATAGGGCTGTATAGTCCGGGACTTTTATATCTATACTAGATGTTTTCCTGCAATTTTCCCCTCGTAAATTACAGCTTATGTTGCCCTCGTATAATGTGGCTATCCATAGGTGAAAGATCTTTCGAGCCTTTTCAATGCAGAAACATAAAAAACTTTTATCTTTATAATGTAGATAGAATATATATATATATATTCAATTACCTTTTCATCAATCCTTTTTAATTATTTCGTGTAATTTCAGCAAAGAATTTATTTTTTATATTCTACAGATTTTTCATATTTCACGAAGATTGATGATGTTGCTATGATAAATATCGACGAAAAGCTTTAAAATTTAGCGTTTGCTCCATCATCGTGACGTCATAATATAGCGGTAATATGGAGCTTCATACAATCGGTGTTCCGCCGACGGTTGCGTTGTCCTGATTGATTGAGCTGGGGGCAATTGATCGACTACACTGTTCGTCACTTTGGGACATTATGACGTACCTACGGAAAATAAGTTCGTTTCTTTACATAGAATATTATAATATGGAAACAGTGTACGCACGTGCTACGAAAACAACTATCAAATGCAATTTACCTGATAAAAAATAAATTAAAATAAAAACTCGGAGATCAAAACTCAGCAAATGTCAAACTTTGTCTGATATAAAACTCTTTAAGATAATATTTACGTTGGTTTAAAAGAAAAATACTTAGTTTTATGTGTACGTTTAATAATAATGTTATTTCTTAATTAAAATAAGTAATTTTAGCCAAATATGTTGTTTTTCTAGATATTAAAATTTTAGAAAAATTAACTTAGCATTATCGAGCTCTACTGGTTCATACATAGTCCAATAGTTGATGCAAAATTACGTAATCACGAATAAATACTTAAACTATATTAAGTCCAATAGCTGTTACATTATTATGATAATGAAAGAGAATTATTACTACTTATACTTACGTATTTAAAACTCTGTATATTTATTAATATTTTTTTTCTAAAGGTCATATTTCCTTACGTTACTGATCCCTTGTTTGTGCATTACGGCTTCTAGAGTAAAATGAAACCTTTGAAACTGAGCAACTATGTACAGTAGACAATCTTTATCGATTATATTCGTCAATAATATTGTTCAATGTTTAGGTATCGGGCGTAATGGTAATAAGAACTTTTTTATTGAATGACGCTTCAATAAAAAAGTTCTCTAGCATACATAATCATATTATTATTATGTAAGAATCATTATTATCATTCTGTTTTAAAAAAAAAACTGTTTTTTTCTTTACATTTATAATTTATCTAACACTAATATTCTTATTTGATGAATTTAACTTGCACAGTTTGAATTATCTTTATGCCTTAAAAATTTAAGGATAGTTCATTTAAGCATTGAGATCATTTTAGCAATTGCCTTGCTTTGTGAAGCGTTAATGCTTTATGTACCGCACAAATAAATGGAATGTCACAGACAGACAAATAAATTCTTTTAAAACAAGAATTACAAATTCTTAAAATAAGTTTATATCAAACTGTCTACACCTTTTTTTCTGTTCTCTGGTTTACAGAACAGCTCGGATAAATAAAAGTTTTGTTTTTCATTCGTTTAATTTGAACCCATTAAGTATATTTTTTAATAAAAAATAACTTAGTGCGATTAAATTTAAACATATTTGATGCCGAAGCGACATAGAAAAATTATTCACATTTAATGCACGGAGAGAGGTTTTTTAGACACTTAACATGTTCGCACATTTTTAAATTGATTTACATAGAAGTCTTTGCATAACAATATTGACATAAGAGTACAAGTATTTATTTTAATATCGCTCTATCAATCTTATAAAATGGTGATCGTATATAAAGAAAGGTTGGCACATTACGAAATAATTCATAGTAGATATCTTTGTTCTGTCGCATTCATATTACCTGTAAATAATATTATCCAATCGTCTTATTCCAGAAGGAAATGATAAGATTCGTAGAATACCGAGTAACGAAGATTTTTTGTTTTCTCTTTTTTAACAATATTCACATCGTGATTACCGTAACTTTATTCTTAAATATATATATATATATAAATTTCGCAAAATGTTTTAAAAATGTGTCTATTTGCTAATGTTTTTTAAATTTCGAGAAGTTAGGGTTGTTTCAATTCACCTCTGTTTTAACATCCTTCGGTCTCCTCCTGTCCATATAATATATTTGTAGCAAAAAGAGAGTAGACTATTTCTCCGAAAGCGAAATGTCAGATAATTTCCAGATATTTTTGTAATATCGTAAGAATAATGTTTGTCCTGATTAATGCAACGTGACCGAGACATATTATGTGCGTGACATCATAAATTAAAAAAACATGCATATTATAATTATATCATACGTTGAGAACGATAGTGACACGATTAGAGGGGCTGATTACAATTTCTTGAACTTTAAACAATGAGCGTTTAAAGTTCAAGAAATTGTAATCAGCCCCTCTAAACAACGTATCGTCACTACGCCATCTAGCAGTTTCTATGCAAGCTACGTTCACAGGGATCTTTGCATTATAAAGTTTATACTTAACAAAGAAAAATGTTGCCAAAATTAAAAAAATATGTCGTTTTTGGTTAGTGACATTGTCATTCTCAACGTGCGATATGGTATGTTATAATTATAGCCGCTGGAGATAACTTCATTATATTTATGATGAATAATTGCGTGAAAAACTTATCTATTAATTCAGATGAAAATAAAAGGCTTTTCGTATACGTTTTAATTAATAATATATCACATAGCAGATCTGCTAGTTAAAATCCTATAATATTAATTAGGTTGAATCGTAACATTTTCAGAATTCGAAACTGTTCTTTTTCGCCATGTTCGCACTTCCATATAATTATTTATAATATTTAATAGTTGCATTATTCTTTTCTTATTAGGATAGCTTTTATAATCAATGTATTCCCTTACAAAATTGTGATGATAATATTTTACTATTTCTGTCGCTAATCTATTTTCTATATTTATAATTTCATCAAGCATCGTTACTAATTGAACTTTCATTTCAATTACATTATTCATGTTTATAGTGTTCATATTCGAATAATATTCTACAGACGCAAAGGCATATTCTTCACTAATAAATTTGAAAGCGACTTCACTATTAATCATGATATACTGTTTCATAAGATTATAAAGTTCGTGCCCTTCAAACTTGCATACACTGAAATCGAGATGATCATAGTCAATTAAACATTTAAAGCTTTCATTTAACTCAATGTTAATATGCTTACGAAACATATTTTGAATGATATCACGTTCATGATTAATTTTACTATAGCTGATGCCAGATTTGAAGTTTTGTATGACTAATAAATTAAGAACAAGACTTGGAATTGACACAGGCAGTAATTCACACGGAGGATCCATGTGGCTATATCTTGACCAGCCAGTCAAGATGATCCCTTTAAAATTATAAACGTCTTCACCACCAAATCTATAGCCAATGATGTAATGCATCCAGTCGAAATGATTACGGAACCTTTTACTCACGTCTGTTATAGTAGCAGTTCTACCGTCGGCGCCTTTATAAGCAGACGCGATCCAAATGTGCTCAAACTTTTTGTGATACCTATAAAGGTTTTGATGCGTAACTCGTAACGGCGACCCGTAGTCCCAATATACGACATGTATATTGTTAAATGACTCAATATTTAACCACTCGTATGCTTTTATATCTCTCAGCATATCATCCCAGATGAGAACCGCCGTTTTCGCGCTTAAGGAATTCACGACTTCGTATATAGCTCTTACATGTTGTACCAACAGATCTCTGGAAATGTGAGAATAAAGATTTTAATGGCGTTATAAAAGCGCCGTAACTTCGGTAATTGTGGGATTGTTTTGTTTTATTTTAGTGAAATGTGTGAAGTAACAAAGTAACTAAGAATTTACGAACTACATTTTACTTGTGGAATGATTTTTAACGATAGTTTACACAATGAACAATTTATATTTATGTATAGTCAACGTCAGGCTATACAAATCTGTTAAATTTCTCTACTTGATTTTAAACCTTAATGGTTTCAGGGTTAAGTTTAAATTCAACTGGAAAAATATGACATATTGTGGTAACTTAACGTGCAGCCGTGTGTACAATATTTAATTTAACATGACATGAATTTAGAATGCCGGTATATATAGAAAATAAGGCGCAAAAATTTTTTTTCTGCACTTGTTTAGAGACATTTAAAATTTTCGAATATATCTTCCTTCAGAGTTCTGCATAGACCTCGCAGTCAAATCCCTAAATTAAAAATAAGAATATCATAGTCTATAACGCACTTTATAATGGCTAGCCTAATATGAAACAATAAGTGTTTTTTTTATTACGAGTTTATAAATAAAATTATATAATAAAGAAAAATAATTACCGATTGGTTATAATTTCCGACCTTTCTTTACATAATTGGCACTGGTTTATATGAAAAACTTCATCGCAACCAATGTGAAGAAATTTCAATGGTGCGACCTCTTTGTGAAAATCTATTATCTGTAAGGATAAACAATATAAAATATTACTTTATTAATTGATGAAAACGTAGGATTAGGTTTCAATTTCATGTCAAATAATTTGTTAAATACGTACTTGTTTGATTAAATCTCTTAAAAATACCAGACTCTCTATATTACTAGGGCATATAGAGTCGGGATATGAAGGAACTTCTCTTAAATGCTGAAATTCGGCTAGCTTCAAAGCATTTTCTAGATGTCCGAATGTCTGTATCAAAGGAATTATTTCGAAACCCGATTTTTGGGCCGCACGGAGAAAATTCTTGAGCTGAAAATAAAGTAACATAGTATTTGTAAAAAAATTGCTTTATACATTTCTTTTTCGTATTTAGGATACGTTAAAATATATAACCGTAGAATGAGGTCACAAATGTTTCCATAAAATGCCTTTAGGGAACAACAAATTAAACATGGGTCCGGATAGGAGTAGTAAATAAAATGAATTGTTTATACTGGGTCACAGTAAGTAAATATTCTACTTATATTTTGGATGGGCATTTAAAGATCTGTAATGTAAAAATTAGCATTGTATTTGTTAAATCCACTCATAACTTGGATTAATGTACTATGACACATTTAATTCTTTAAAGTTTTGATTATGTTGAGGCTTACAACCAGTTGTACAAACGTCCAATAAAATTGTACATATATGACATTCATTAGAGATTAAAGGCTTTATTAAACCTTAATGGACGTTTGTGCAACTGACTGTCTGTCTATTAGTTAAGGCAGCATAGTTATCTTGGTATCGGATTACAAAATATTTTCATTATATCGGATATATAATAAAAATGTTTTGTATTATACATATATGCGAAATTTGTCGATACTTATTTTAATTAGGACAAAGTATTTAACAATTTCGCACGAAAAAGTATCTAAAATAACAAAATGTCACGTTATGAACCGTAATAGTTGGCTATGAAGCCTACTGATACGATAGGCTTAGATTTATAATGTAAATTCTAAGCATATGACTATTATTTGTGTAAAACAAACAAAGTAACTTTATTTGTTTGTTTGAATGGTGTTGAATCAAAAAAAAATATCTGATTAAGAAAAATCTTTTATCTATGGGAAGCTAAATCATACGCGGGTGACATATACTATAATTTACGTGAGCGAAGTCGCGAAAAAACAGCTAGTATACCTAAATGTTTGTTTATTAAGTGTGAAATACAGTGTAATGTATTGACGTGACTTACCTCAACTTTACTGTAACAGTATTCAGCACTCATGTTGACTAATTTCCCTTCATATGGGAACATGTCCTCGTATTCCATTAGTAGACTATTAACTCCATGCTTTTTCATTAAAGGAAATAGCGACTCTAAATATGACAGTTTTAACGGGGTACCCTTTAAATCTATATGAACAACAACATTTTCTAAGCGCACGGATTTATTTGATAACATTTTGTTATTGAAATATATTTTTTCCAAAACAAAATAGACCATAAAAATGTAAACAGACAGAAATAACACTGTTATTGTAAAGAACTTGAATTTGATAAAAATCACTTTTATTGGTAAACTAGCTGACCCGACAGACTTCGTCCTATCAAAAAGATTTGTAATGTGGCAGTTTTTTTGCCTACGTATTTAAAAAAATTCTCCTGAACAGAACCGTCACCCTGGTGATAGGGCGTTGTGAATAAAAAATAATTAAATAAAACATATATAAGGATTTAAAAGTAAGTAATCGCTTTATTGTTAATCATGTGAATCATAATTATTATTGCAATGTATTAATAGTAATAGTATTAAACATAGAAAAAAGAGATTTTTATGATCATAAAAACACATTACACACAACAGCATTATAAAAGTAAACTATTTGAATTAAAAAAATATATAAACATTCTCAAGGAAAAATGCTGGAAGAATCCATCTACCTGTACCCCGGAATGGGACTCGAACCCATTCGCGATCCAGGGACTGCTCTAACCAATGAGCTATCTAGGACCCAACAGCCTTGCTACTACAGAGCGTATTTTCATCAATGTTCCGGCAATACATGTAATGACGTGGAAACTGATGCATTTTATCTCGCGTGCCGAAACTAATACAAAAGAAACGCGAGTTTCGGAACGCGACATTAAACTCCTCCAACTATGTATTCTGTGCTCCAACGCACACACGCACATTGTTTTGTGATAGATATGATCTTTGACGTTAGGAACACACCTACATTGCTTAGACAACAGTGAGTGCTTGTAATTTAATATGAACTTTATACCATAGCAATAAAGCTCAAATTGACTACGTTTTAGTTACAAATCATTTGTATGGGAAAAAGAAAAGGGCTATTTTTAGGGTTTTTCCAGCAATAATTCTAATTTTTCTCGCCGTAAAAACCATCCTTGAACTTCAACGAACATTTAAAAAAAAGATTTGGCCAAATTGGTCGAGGCGTTGTTGAGTTATGCGCTTACCAACACATTTTGCGATTCATTTTTATATATATATAGATAACGCATTGTTTGGTAAATAAATATATTTTTACACTTCTAATGACACTTAATGACTGAAATCCACAGTAAAATTTCTCTATGACTCAAATTATAGTCACATACTCATTTTATTCACTTGTAAAATATAATCTTCTTTCTTTAATACAACATATGAACATTCAACACTGGTTGTATCAATTATAATAGTTTATATGTTTTTAGTAGGTAATTCTCTCTTTGATAGTCTGTATTGTACTATACAGAGCAATTTTTCATACATCTGGTGCTCTCCGATCTTCTTTATATTGAACTATAACTATACAAGAGTCCGTGACAAAAATGTACGACTTTTCTAACTGTTGACACTTCAGTATGTCAAAATTCTAGACAATACATCACTCAGTAGCCAGTGAAAATGTCAGATGCTGGAACGTCTGAGAAGTATGTAAAATAGTAATATGCTTTTTGTTCTGAGTTCCTAGTTCAGATATCACTTTACAGGCCAATTCTGTTAACGTAGTTTACGTAATAATCGCATCTCAATAGAATCTCAACTACGTTCCATTTTACCATTACTATTGGCCTAAAGTCCAATATTATTAGTGCATATCTTTCGCATACGTTAATAGTGACAGATATATAATAATATTGGAGTTCAGGTTGATAGTACAATGGTCAAATGTAAGTAGTTCTATTGCTGTGTGATTATTATTTAAATCTTAACAGAATAGGCCCGTGTGCTTGTGTAGTTTGGTGGAATGCCTCTACAAATCTTCGGATTAAGTTCGACTAAAACATTTCTAGATAGAATTTTAAACAGTTAATAAGTAATCATTTTTCTGTATAGCCTGGGCTGTCGTATCTTGTAGACAAAAGTAGCAAAAAATACTGGTTAAAAAAAGGAGGGTTTAGTAATGTTTAAATAATTAACTCCAAAAAGATTTCGATATTAGTTAAAATTGATTAATTTCTAAACCATTTACATTAAATTAATACCAAGTAATGAAAAAAATAAACTCAGACTTTCATTCAGTAGAACAAACACATTCAGCCATCGCTAGAAGTTTGTTTAGCCGCTGCTACCAGGTGTTCCAAAGCCTAATCTTTGCACTGGGTACTGAGTAACATATACTTCCACATAATATAGTATCAACTGTTCAATAAATATTATTGTAAATTTTGGTCTATTAGTCTATGATTGTTATTACCGATTAACAAAACAATTACTAACGGATCAAAAGAAAAGATACTTGCACGTATTCAATAATAACGTATTCGCGAAATAGTAATTATATTATTTCTTATTGACTGTATTTATTTCAAATAACTGTTATCCAGTTGCAAACTCACAAAAGCATAAAAAAATTACATCACTACATGTGTGCACAGGCCTTATCAATTTAAAAAAGTTGACAAGTTTAGGATACATAATAAAAAGGCGCCAAAAGTGCACATCCAAGGTTAGAGGTTTTATATATTTTAACGGAACACTAAAAAACTTTTTTAATATCCTTGAAGCAGTCTATGATTTTAGCAAAGACATAAAAAAAACAGAACGTTCTTTTACAATGGTCACGATCTTACTACTAACACGAAGTGGGCTGTATAATAGTTTTAGTACTTTTATGGTTTCTTTGAAGTTGTACAAAAAGGTATGTTTAAGAAATGTACGCACCAAGTGTGCTAAATTCAGTAAGCGTTATTAACTTATAATAAACAAGATATTTCAGATTTGATTATAACTAAATAAACTTTACTAACTTGCGGCCTATGCCCAGTAGTGGGCGTCTCTAGGCTGAAATGATAATGATGATGATTCCTTTTATTAAAGTTGTTATATCTAGTTTTTTTAATAATGAGTTATAAGGAACAATGATAAAATATAACATAAACGGTAAATTTAATGCCATAAAGCATTCTCTACCAGTCAATTTCAATGCATATAGGATTTGATCGTGAAGCGATTGATCATTGTAATCATTTTTATATTAACTACGTACTTTTTTAACTACGGTTATAATTGTTATTCCATAGTTTATATTTATGTAATATAATATTCATCAACAAAATTGTAAATAGATCGAGTATCATTAATACCGTTCCACTCACATACCTAGTATCGTAACAGATCGCTCAGTTCCAAACGTAATAACGCTCATCGTTTGAAACAATACAAGTGCCTAAGCCCTTATAAATTATGAGCAGCTAGCAATCAACAAGTCGAGCCGTCTCCAAATGATCAATTCCAAATGACCCTTCTGCTCCCCTTTACCTTACACTTCGGGCCAAGACATCATTATACCTCGAGCAATTGATATTGAACCTTCGATATCAACAATAAGGATTATAGTAACTACATTTTACAGGTAGGTATTAATGAGAGTTTCGGGTTTATCAGAAGCTTAAAGTTTCAAGTTCCTTTGCCTGAATATATAATTCATAGAATAATGCTACAATATAGATATAACTAGTAAGAATTAATTCGCACTTTGAGAAATAGAGTAAAATAAGAACTGCTTATATTTGACTACTTGTTTCTTATTTACAGTCAAGTAAATGGAAGCACTTTCATGACGGGATAAGTATTTTCGTGGATAAGGTACAAAGAAATTTTAGTTTTTTTATAATATATATCATATGTCGCATCATCATTACGAAGATCGTTTTATTTAGTTTCTTTTATTTAATTGTTAGTTACTCGATTACTTAATTACTCGATTGTAAAGAGAGCGTGATTATCGATACTTTTAATTTTATTAGAATGGTGACACTGCCTTTGACAGTTCGTTTATAAAAACCAAGTTGCCGCCATTTTGGCACACATTCTGTTTCCGATCGCCCAGGAGTAAAGACATCTGACGACATCACGCTCATCTCGTTATATTTTCGTATGAAAAGTGATAAAATGTAACAAATCCACGTTGGTATACACGCCTGCAGTGTTATTTTAAAGATAGTCCTCCGATATGGACGATCTATTTGGGCTTCGTAATATACCCTCCTGACTACACGCCGTTACATATATATTTATATATATTATATAATATATATCATATATACACAATAATATGGTAACTGCAAAGATACAAATGGGTAGCTGATACAAATTTTAAACCTTTTTGGAATTCGAATTAGCAACTCAAATATGTTCCATATCAACCAGAACGATAAGAAGCTTTAAATTCTTTATTAGTTTCTAGAAAATATAGACATTCTTGCATTCTCATCAGCTGTTAGTCATCTCGTACAAGTCGTTAAATTGGCTAAGGGAATACAATTTATAGGTAACAACTAAACTTTTGGTATACATGGAGTCTTTGGTAACAAATGCCGAATAATGCTTCAAAAATCCACTTTGTCTCTGGTACTCTGATATGGAATTCGAACCTACGACATTTCGTAATCCGGGCGACTGCACTAACAACGGAGCTACCCAGGACCCAACAGGACTGACGAATTCTTCAAGCACTTGTTATTTTTTTGTTACTACAGAAATATTTTACATTGTGAATGAAAAATTTATAAAATATGATAAAGCACGAAGATGTCTTCCTAAAGATATATGTATTATTGTTTTTCTATGACAGCTTCGTGCTATTTATGACAAGGGGTATTTAAGATTTGAGCCCAAACATGGCTTGATGTGTAATTTTGCTATGGAAACTTCATATTAATGTATACTTTAACTTACTATGACGTTAATATAGAGACTGAATAGGTCATAATATATTATGTCGTAAATATTTTATTAGTACTAGGGTAATAACAATTATAGTGAGTTAGAGCAACCAATTAGAAACAATTTAATGGACAATGTTGCGAATATTGTCTAGTTTTAAATACTCGGAAGAAATAGCGTTTCATCTTTTATTATAGTCGTAGCTCTAGCGATAATTTGATCTGGTTTTTACAGTCATTTATTATTTTATATCCATCTAGTCGAGAATAGAACACTAGAGATAG